CCGGTGCCAGCCATGAGCCTTTTGTTCTGGCCCGGCTCCTCGCCGGCTGCGACCTCCCCACCCGGGAAGCTCGCTCCCCAGGCGCAGCTCGGTCCCTTCCCCAGCTACCTGCAGCCCGACCCGGGCGCCCGCTAGGAGGCTGGGGAGGGGGTTGGAGAGAGGCTCGGCGGCCCTGGAGGAAAGCGAGTTACTAAGGCTGGGCGGCTCCGAGAACCGGTGGCCCCGGGGACCGAACACCAGCAGGTGCGAAGAGACCTCAGCCGTGTTACCAGAAAACGGCTAACCCCGGGAGCGGCATGGCCCTGATGCCCACTCTCTCTGCCCCTGCCGGAAAGCCCACGGGGATTTCGCTCAGGCCCGGATCTCCAGAGAAGCCAGAGCAGTGCAGAGGCGCTCTTACGTGGGCCGCTGGAAGTATAAGCATGAATGAATGCTTACAAATTCCTTAGGAAGCCTATCACCGCAGCCCCCCATATAGTAGTCGCTCAAGAAATATTTGCTAAATGGAGGCATGAGTTGCATGCAGCAGTGTTGGACAGGAAGTTGCTAAAGACCATAGCCTGGCTTACAGATGAAAGTCATTGTTCCTTCAATGTACATATGTACCCAGCCCTTCTGTGTGCCATCCGTCATATGGCAGAAAGTAAGATAGATTGGGGACCTTTCCCTCATGAGCCTTACCACCTGGTGTGAGAAGTCCATGGGAGATTGTTGTGCCTTTTTTTGTAAGAGAAAGTGCCTGTTCCCCACCCAAGCCTGCCAGCTGTGGTCCTACAGCCCCACACACTCGCAGCTGCTGTCTGGATTGCAAGCCACTCTAGGGCACCTCCAGGCTTCTGGGGAAGCCTGTGTCAGCAGTGCCTTCCTCTCATCAGTCCCTCCACTGTCACACTAGGTCTCTAGGTCCCAGGCAAGATACCTGGGGATCTACCGGGGTCTGTGGGTGCTGGGTCACTAAAGCAACCCAGGCTTGATCCACAGCCCCCAGGGTGCTTCAGAGTTACCTTCTCTGGACTTTCCTTCCTCTGCTGGGAAGATAGAGGTGGCAGGGACTGGGAAATGAGATCAAGAGGATTTCTGCTTCTCCTTCCTTGCCCCTCAGAGACTTGTATGTATGGAAATTCTGTCCCCAAGGCCAAAGGGAGCCCCTTCCCAGGAAGCACTTCCAAGCCTCACTCTGTCCTGTCCTCCAGAACTGTTCTGGGTGGCTGGGCTCTAACCCACACGCTGCCTTGCGATGGTGTTAGCCTCATCGCAGTCACACGGTGGAGGAAAATACCTTTTCTCCTGCCTCTTGTGAAGATGGGTAGGCAACACGGAATTTATGGATGCCCCTTTGCCTTCTCCCGTTCCCTTTCCGTTCATCTTTCCTACATCTCTGTGAGAAATCTCCCACGGACCTCCTTTTACAGATGAGAAGACCAAGGCTCAGGAAGATAAAGAAACATCCCCAAGGTCACAACACAGTGATTCAAATCCAAGTTTGCCCAACCCGAAGGCCCGTACCTTCTGTGCCAGCACTTTGTGAACTCACCTGGTCCCTGGACCCATGAATCTCACCATGAAGTTGCCAGATGGGTTCTTCTGAGTACCAAACAGTATACTGCCTAACGCTCCAGCCCCTCCTTTGAAAAATAAGTTGGGGTAGCCTTGCATTCTGGGGTCAATATCAGGGAATTAGTTCACTGCGCAAAGCAAAGTTCTGTGGTACAAAAACATAGCCTTAGAATGCATCATCACTCAGCCAATCAACAAATATTTATTGAGCATCCCGTGTGCAGGTCCTCCTTAGAAGTTGTTTTAGCCTTTGGGTACTGACAGACTTTCCCAGAATGGCAACAGCAGAGTAGTTACAGGGGGCTGGGGAGGTTTGGGGTGGATGGCATTGGCATGTGAGCAGGGTGGGGGTCTCGAGCAGATAGGTCTGAGTGAAAGGCTTATCCTGGTCCCCCACCACATTCCTGATACCTCCTCCCATTTGCCTCCCCGACCCATTGCCCCTGGGGCTGTTCTCATCTCCTCTGATGCCCCCCCCAGAGTGTGTTCAAAGACAAGTGTGGGGTTGGGGGGTCCCCACTAAAAATAAGTAAGTAAATAAATCCCAGCACCCTCCCTCCTAGTAGTGTGCCTGAAGTCAAACTCAGCGCTTCCCAAACTGCATTACTGGAAATGGACTTGAGGGAGAGGATTTCTCTCCAAAACAAACGCACAAAAACAAATTATTAACCCTTTGTCTGCTATAATTTCCTTCACTACGTTCAGTGCTACCCTTTGGTTATTTACAGACTGATCCACTTACCCGAAGGAGGAGAAGGTGGTGGAAAGAAAGGATCTGTGTAGAGAAAAAACATCCAAAAAAGACGCCTCGCCGCCGAGGAGTCCCCTCTCCCTCCGCGCCGCCGCAACTTCCATGGCTACTGCCGCGGGCGGGCTGCGTGTGGAGGGGACAGGCCGCCCCGGGCTCCTGCGGCAGGAAAACAAAGCATCGTGGCCCAAGCCTCCCTGCACCGCTTGTCCCCGGCCAGGA